CTCTCTCTCTCTCTCTCTCTCTCTCTCTCTCTCTCTCTCTCTCTCTCCATCTCCCATCCTCTCTGTCAAAGTAGCTCAGATGGAACAACACAACATTGCAAATGCAGATAAACTGAAATGGGTCTGCAGAAATCAGTGGAGGATTTCAGCACATGCACACAGTAAAACAACAGTTTTTATTTATCAAATATCATCATAGGCTGAACTAATACATATAATCATGTATCAAACTGTCAAAACAAAATGGAATCTGATTTACAACAAACATTTATTTGCAGTGTTTTCAATGTGATGACTCCTCAAAGTGATTTCGCTCATTCGAGTTCTATTTCATCTTATAAATAAGTAGCTATGACCTGATGATATTGTCAATAATATATGTCATCGAAGCTGCATTTTGAACATCTTTGAAAATAACCTTGCTATGTGTCGGAGAGCGCAACGAACTCTGTGGGGAAGATGTGTCTTTAATATTGATTTGCTTACTATCAATTGCAGGCACTCTATAGAGTATGTAATCAGATTGTTTTCCGATCAATATGACTGATTACTCAATTCGGCACTATTAAAATTACCAGTGAAGATTTTTTTTCTTTCTTTTTCTTGTTGTTTAGGAATGCATTATTAATGAATTAAGGGATTCAGGCAAACCAACTCTCAAAAGAGACACATTCATTAAATGATTCACTGCTTGATGAATTAAATGCATGCATGAAATAAACACTTCTCCCGGTGCCTTTTGAGTTGTAGGCTATATTGCATACTTCATTGACATTATTTTGCCAACAAGCGTGCAAATATTAAATAACCAGTGGTTTATGGAGTTGCGTTACGACTGAGCCGTTTCCAGACCTGTGGCACCGCAACACAGAAAAACACCGAGAAGTTACTGACCGTTGGGGCGGCCGAGGCGGGAAGCTGGAGCTCCACGAGTCGGTACGCATCCACTGCCGAGCCGTTGCCTCTCACCGCGGATGCTGCAGACAGCGCCAGGGTCTCCGTGTTGCGCGCCGTGCAGTTCGGCTCGCGGTCGCCGCACCAGATGATGCTCTGCCGCGTGGGCAGCAGCAGCTCGCTCTTCCCGCCGTTCATCCTCTTACGCCTCCTCTTCCTCACCCCTCCTCTGTCTGAGGGAGGAGAGAGAGAGATGACTGACAGGTGACCAGATGTGCAGCAGGTGGAATTAAAAGGACAACTATAGTGACTACGGAAAGTGGTTCTTGCATAACAAAAACATCTAACTCCAATACAAGTATTTCATGATACAATAGACTTTAGACTCTCTACAGCAGGGGTGTCAACTTCAAGGCCGAATCCGCCCCGCCACGTCATTTTATGTGGCCCGCGAATCCGCCAGCAAAAATAAATAAAATAAATAAATGCATTTTTTAAGTTAGACTTAAATGAGATAGAAAGTCGAAGTTATGAGATAGAAAGTCATAATTTGAGATATTTGAGTATTTGAGATACTTAAACAACATAGAAGCAGCTCTTTGGCTGATTATTGTACATTATGGAAATGTATTGTGAGTACATTGAAGACTACTTCAAACGTGGCTTTAAAACACATGAATTACTTCACGTGGGATTGTGCAAACGCACAGCTTTGAACAAAGTTATTGTAATAACTTGTGTTTGATGATATTTGTGATATGTGATATTTGTTATTTTCTTTAAAGGTTTGATCTTTGATAGAGTAATGTGAGTTTCGTAACCCTAATTAAAAATAATTAAAGTTATAATAACAGAAATGTGCTTAAATATATTTTTACACTTGAATAAACAATAATCAAATGCAGAGACAGTTATTTACCAATATGTTAGGAGTAGTTACATTTACAACCGGCCCTTTGAGGGCAACCATGATGCTGATGTGGCCCAGAGTGAAAATGAGTTTGACACCCCTGCTCTACAGGGTAAATGTACACATCTGTGCTTTGTCATGCAATTACACAATGGAAATGTAGTTTGTAGTTCTCAATAGATACAAACATGCCACAGAAGAGAAATCAATACAGGAAACAACAGGCCTTGTTTTTATTTCACTCAGTCTGCTCCTCCGTCTCCAGACACTCCCCACCATGCATTACTCTCCAGACCTGAAATTCTCCATCTGTCCACCAGATGACCTGAGACTTTCCCACCTGTCTCAGTCACCTGACTCTCTCATCCACCTGCTCACCTTGATTTATTACCTCAGTAAACATTGTAAATATGAGTTTATGGTCTTAATCGATAGTTTCAAGTCTTTTTCAATACAGCATGATATTCATTTAGTAAATGATGGTCCCATTCTGAGTAAAACAGACGTATGCTTTAGGACGTGGCTAAAGAAGTTTGAAAAGTAAAACAATCTGGAGGTGTGGAGTTATAAAGAAGCGAGCTAACCAGACCTCTCCTCTGTATCCCGCTGCTCGTCTCTTCTGCTGGCTAGCTCCAGGCTACATTAGCTGCTGCTAGCATAACAAACCTTAACCCCAAACTCAACTGACAGCAGGTCGGGTTGCATTGTTTGGTGGATAAGACCTACCTGCTCATGAATGTTTCATGGGTAATGGCTTCATGGATATGCAACCATCACTAGAATAATACATCTACCACCAAGACTGCAGGACTGGATTCACTTTCAAACAACATAAAATGCTTTTGCATTATGTCCGACATTTCACACCCAATTTAGAAATGAAAATGATCTAAAAACAATAAACGAGTACAGCACATGTTTAAAATTAGAGTGAGCCGGCCGGAGGGAAAAATGCTTTTGTTTCATATTAAAAATAAAAAGGTGTTTTGAAATCAATCCTGAGAGGCTTCAGAGTGCTTCACCCCTCAAAATAAGGAAAAAATAATGAAGGCGACAAACATGAAAGCAGTTTATACAGCTGCTGTGATTTATAACTTATCATCAACAATGCAGTAATGTCAAAACATTTAAATATATAAACACTTAATTCAATCTATAGCTCTTCATTGAAAGTTTGTACAGGAAATGTATCTGTTATAAATCACTCCATAAAACTTTTATATTCTAAATGTTTTGTGTATTGTGGGTTTGTTTGTATGTCAACATTAATACTCCGTAATCAAACAGCTAATGTTTTAAGGACAGAACCATGCTACCAATGAAAATGCTGAAGACTCTAGATAATAGAGTTTTATACTTTGCACATCAGTGGGCAGTTCGCATGAGGAGACAGCTATTTATTTGGTGTTTTTGTAACTTTGAGATGCAAATATAGAAAAGTTTAAATAGTAATGGAATGAAGAGTTTGCTTTTACAAGAGATGATGATATTTTATGATTTTGTTTTTTGTGTGTAAAAAGACAAAGAGGCCCCTGGTTTCAGAAATTGGGTTCTAGCAATTGCAAAATACTATAATTAATGTGTTCACCACTTTAATGTTGCAGCTGGTAAAGGTGGAGCTCATTTTAATTAGTTGCTGCTGGGTAGTTTGATCTATAATAATACAGACTGTAGTGGAAGGAGGGATGTGTTGGAAACAGAGACAGATTTCTGGGTGTCCTTAAGGACGAGGTGCCAACTATGAATTGTAAACATCCTCGCTTCACATCTGGTCGGGGTTTTTGTGGTTCCTCATTTTTCTCTTCCCCCATTTCCTGTCTTCTGTCTACTGTTGCTATCTAATAAAAGAATCACATGCTGAAAAGAATACAAAACACGTAATAAGTAAAAGTTTTTTTTTTTTCCGAATTAACTGATTCCTGAAGGTTGAATGACTGAATCATTTTGTTTTACACACAACAACATCAATTCTTTACCTGCTTGGACAAAGATTTTCATGACGCTTTTTTGCTTTGAATTAAAATCCAAATATGATGTGAACACAGGACCGAAATACATCAGTATGTCATAGAGAAGAGGGGTTTTCTCTGTACCTGAACGAATCTTGAGAAGATGAACGTGAAAATCCAGGACCTGGACCAGAACCACAACCAGGTTCAATGTTGTCAGGAAGAGTAACTGCAGCCAAACTCTGGTGACGCTCTGGGGGATGATGGGTAATTCAGCTCCTGGCTTTTGTCTTCAGAAGTTTTGATGCACTGAGGGAAACACTCTCCTCTTCACCATCCTTTACTTGTCTGCTCAGGTACTTAACTCTAGGACTATTTAACTCTGATTCGATTAAACCTGCAGGAAACCCACAAAGCTCCGAGTTCACGCTGCAAAAACAAAGCAAACCAACGTTCACTAACAGACGTCCGGCCGTCAACTCCTGCATTTGTTCAGTGATTCAAAAGCCTGAAAGTGTTTGCTGCAGGGAGAAGGTGAGAAGACGAATAAGCAGATTCATTCAGGGAGACATGTTTATAAGGCAGAGAGAACCCCCACCACACACACACACACACACACACACACACATTATGTCTGTGGGCTATGTGTGTCTCTAGGTCAGCACTCTAATGAAAAGTCATTACTTGTATTATCTGCTGACCTGCTGCTTCGCCTTAATACAAATGATGAGACAAGGACAAACTCTCTCACTGATGAATACATGATTACACTGTGTGTGTGTGTGTGTGTGTGTGTGTGTGTGTGTGTGTGTGTGTGTATTAAACTGTGAACTCTGAGAATCTTACTTCTGATCACTTTAATGGACGACAGAGATCAAACTGAAATCACTTTAAATGGATTTGGACGCCCAAATCTGACAAAGTAAAAAGACTGGACTGAGCTCATGATGGCTGCTGTTTACCTTTGTACAGCCCCAAAACACTGGTGGAAAGTACATTTACTTCAGTACAAGTTTGAAGTACTTGTACTTTATTTGAGAATTTCTATTTGCTGCTACTTTATACTTCAACCCAAACTTTTTACTGCACTTCATTTATTTTGACAACATTAGTTACTTTGCAGATCAAGATATATAACCAGGAACTAGATTACGATGTGTTATTGTAGGCCAAATAAGACTATTGATCCCCGGGGCATATTTGGAGATATCAGGAGAATGGGACGAACGTGATCAAATCAGTTCATCCTTCATATATAACAAACAAATAATTTCATGTATGAATTGGTCTGAATTATTGAGCATCGATATAAACAACCCACCATAGACAAAACATTTAGAATATAACAACCTGTCTGCACAAACTTTCTATTATAAAAAAAATGTAATTGAATCAAATCATCAAACATTTACAAGTGACTGTGTGCTTTCACGTAACTCATTTTTTAATGATTTCTGTTTTCAAACACAGTGTTTCATCCCCTTCCTGATCAGTGAAAACCACGAATCTCCAGATGGAATGACAAGTCGTCGCTGGGAAATGGTCGCGTTTAGGCAACAAAACCACTTAGGTTAGGAACAACATCATGTGTGGGCTTAATATAAGTGTGTTAACTAAGTACAAAGTAAACAACATAAGGATTATTCCTCAGTTAGCCTAATTTAATTTCATAATGAATTGCTGTGAACACATTTGCTGTTGTTAGAGACGTCTAAGTGTCATACACAAGAGGAAGTTTCTTCTTTTCATGGATCTAGAGAAACGTGTAGGACACTTTAACTCAGCTAACAGAAAAAGCAACAAAAAACCAGAAGAGCTTCAGTCTCAGCTGCTGACGTCAACGGGCTGAATAATATTCACAATTAAATTTGTGTGGATGTACCCTGCATCCATTTAATCACCTAAGCTGATGGAATGTAGGAATGTAGGACACTGAATAATTAACGCGTGACAACGCACAGAAATGAGGATACACACCTGAAGGTTGTGCCTCGGTTTGAATAGAAAGAGTCTCTAGACTCCATACAGATACACAATAGAGGCGTAGAGGGTTCAGTCTGAGCTAAAAACTGCTTTAACCCTGAAGGGAAAGGTTTCTCTTGCCAACAAAGCTTGATTAGGTCCAGTCACATGGCTGGGAGGACTACTCTATATTCTTTAATGATCTTTTAGGTTTGTAGGAAGTCCTCTTTACAAATATTTATCATTTAGTATGAAGGGTAGTTGGAGGAATGGTCCAACCAGACTGATAAAAGAAATGGTAGAAAGAGACAAACATCCCTCTGAGCAACAGTTGAATACTTGTATTATCACAGAGGATCTTCACATGCTGAGCTGAG